TTTAAAGAACTCAAAGAGCTAGAGCTAAGATATTAAGCATGAAACATCTTCTAGTGAGTGTCTACAAAGTTTTTTCAAATAAATGCCCTGGGGTCAAAATTGGCCCCGCCCCGAGGGTCATTGATTTTCCCTATATGTGTATAGCTAAAACTTAAAAATCTTCTTTGAAAAACCCAAATAGCTAGAGTTTAGATATTAAGCATGAAACATCTTCTAGTAAGTGTATACAAAGTTTGTTAAAATAAAAGCCCTGGGGTCAAAACTGGCCCCGCCCCAGGGATGTCATTGTTTTAACTATATGTGTATAATAAAAAATTAAAAAATTTCTTTTAAAAAACCCAATGAGCTACAGCTTAGATGTTTAGCATGAAACATCTTCTTATGGGTGTCTACCAAGTTTGTTCAAATAAAAGTCCTTGGGTTAAAATTGGCCCTGCCTTGGGGGGGGGGGGTAGGCAGAGGTCATTGTTTTTCATTATATGTGTGTAGTAAAACTCAACATCATGAAACATCTTCTAATGGGTGTCTTCAAAGTTTGTTCAAATTAAAGCCCTGGGGTTTAAACTGGCCCCGCTCCGGGGGCCTATATACAGGTGAGCGACCTCAGGGCCATCATGGCCCTCTTGTTAGTTATGCCCCTTTAACTTTGAAAAAAATATGAAATTTTCAGTTTCCGTTCATTATCTCCCCAACAGTAGTACACATTCAACTCAAATTTGACATATGGATACGTTAATGCGCAGGCCAAACTCGAATTTGGTCATGGTTCAATGATTTTTTGAGAATTATGCCCCTTTCACTTTGAAAATAATATGAAATTTTCAGTTTTTGTTCATGATCTCCCCAACAGTGTCACATATTCAACTTAAATTTGAGGTATGGATATGTCAAAGGAATGCGCATGTCAAATTCGAATTTGGTTATGGTTCAATGATTTTTGGCAGAGTTATGTCCCTTTCACTTTAAAAATAATATGAATTTTTCAGTTTCCGTTCATAATCTCCTCTAGGGTATAACACAGTCAACTCAAATTTGACATATGGATATGTCAAAGAAATGCGCAGGTCAAGTTCGAATTTTGTCATGGTTTGGTGATTTTTGGCAGAGTTATGCCCGTTTAACTTTGATAAAAGGAAATTTTCAGATCACATTCATTATCTTCCCAACAGTTGTACATATTCAACTCAAATTAAAGATATGGATATTTCATGAGAATGCATTGGTCAATTTCGAATTTGGTCATGGTTTGATGATAGCTGACAGAGTTATGCCTCTTGAACTTTGAAAAAAAAATCAGAAATTTTAAGTTTCCGTTCATTATCTCCCCAATGGTTGTACACATTCAACTCAAGTTTGACATACAGATACATCTTAGGAATAAGCAGTTCAAGTTTGAATTTGGTCGTGGTTCAATGATTTTGGACAAAGTTATCTTTCTTGAATGTTGGAAAAACTTTGAATTTTCAGTTTCAGCACTCATATTTTTATGGAAATGTATATGCAATAAGCAATTTACAAAAGGTTTACACTGAATAGTTTCAGTGCCTTGAACTTTGTATAAAAATGGTTTTTGTTAAACATTGAATAGTTTTAAGGGCTTTGAACTTAAAACGAAAAAAATAATTTGTGCAAACAAATTTGGAACTTAATGTTATATTATAACATCTGAAATTTTGGCTGCATGTAGGGGCACTCGTGGCGTGACGACACATTTCTAGTTTTTTAACAAATCACAGAGAAAGACAAAAACTTTGATAAAAGTTTGCTAGCAGGTGATGATTTTTTTTTTCAAAAATGTAAATATATTACTAATACATTCTTTGTTTCAAAATATTTTGAAACCATTGGTCAATTAAAGTTTAAGATACCTTTCATTCAAGTGTGATCCAGTGCCATGGAATATCCGTTTTTGTCAAGACCACTTGTTTGGTGTACCTGCGTCTATTATAATCTTGCTCATTGCTTGAAGGATTACAAAGTAATAAAAATTTGATTGTCAGCACTGTATCTTGCTTATGCTTTGAAGTATTATGATTAGAGGCCAAAGGATTTTTTCCAAACCCACTTGAGCTGAGCTAAAAATAGTTGTCAAAATGGCTGTTCAGTGTTTGTATGTTGTGTGTGCATCCAAACATGTCCATTCCTAACTTCTTTGTGCATGGAGGAATTTTCAGATACATGAATTGAGTTTTTAAGGCACAAATGTTCATCATGAGACTTCCTGTCATTCACATGAAACAGGTCACCAGGTCAGAGGTCAAGGTCACCTAAGATGATGCCATGACAAGATTTTGCCTTGTGTTGCGCAAATCTCACCTTTGTATACAACTTTCTTATGAAGCTTATAGGTTCAGTTTTGAATTCAGACAAGAGGGATGGACATTCTGCCTGTGGGCATGTCTTGTTAACAAAACCTTAGGCTGAAAAGGCACTATGTGCTTTATTATTGGAAATATAACCACATCCACTTTAATAGAGACTTTTCCAAAAATCATAAACAAAATTTACATCTGTTTAACTGAATTAATATGTCTGTCATAGCAGAATCTGAAGAGACACAAATTTCGTATCTGTTCTCCATGATGCAAGTATGATATTTGTAAACTTAACTGAAATGTTCTTACTTTGTAAAGATCTCATGAAAGCTGGCAAGCTGTCATATGTTATGTCTTCATTAAGGATTATACTTCATAGATAAAAGTTTTCTTGATGAAGCATCACCAGGTTGGGTTGTCTATCAACACGCCCATTGACACTTGATAATTATTTTGCGTTTCCCGCACTACAGCTACTAATATACAATCTGCTCTGTCCTTCAATAATTTCTTCATGGCCATGTGGTCAACACATAGGACTAGTAATATAATGATCGTTAGCTGCATGTTTTCAAACCCCGTCAGTGGCAAGTCGATGTTTCCTTTTGCAAGAAACTTTACACTCTTTGCTCAATACTGGTTTGTTCCAGGAACAGATTCGAAAGTGTGTCCATAAGCTTATAGCTTCCTAAACAACCAAACTAAAAATATATGTATTAACCAATACTTTCTGCAAACATCAACCTACCAAACTGAAAGGGGGAAATGCATAGAATCATTATTTATATTTAACCATCTTGTTTTCATAGCATCTTTTAATGCATATGGGTCATGATGCCATGAAAAAATCCCTATAATTGTCTGTTTGTTCTAGATGCAAACTTATCAGTATATATAAGAAGTCTTCGTATTGAACATATGTTTTTTGTTATGCAACTCTAAGCAAACATGAGGTTTTTGTGGGCCTTGTCCTACGACAAAGTAATAGTCATGTCTTCAGAATTGTTTTAATTAATATCTTGCCTAGAAAATTAGTTTCTTTATTTGAATTTATGCATATTTTTCCTGATATTTTATAAATCCTAATTCATCAAATGATTTCAATGTATCACCTTAATTCTTTTAAGCAAGCATAATTTAGGATACAAAATTGAGATTTGAAATTCTTAACTTTGGGAAAAATCAAGATTTCAACATTGGGAAAAATCGACATCAATTTTAGGTACCAACCATTTATGAGTAGGGGTAGTCATGTAGAATACCCTTTTGTCTGGCTTCCAGTCATACTGTCCTGCAGTGTGTCAGTAGACTGACAGTGAAGTGGTGGGACATCCATGTCCTATGGATACACTTCTAGTCATGAAATATTGCTTTGCTGCTTAGACTTGACAACCATATTATTAACATGTACATTTTTATGCCCCCAAAATGTGGGAGCATATAGCGTTGCACTTGTCCGTCCGTCCGTCCGTTCGTCAGTCCGTACGTCCCGAAATCTTGTGAACGCAACTCCTCTTAAACCAGATGGCAGATTTTGTTTAAACTTACAGGGATGAACAACCTTAATGTGTAGATGGTAGTAAAGGAAGGAATTTTTGCTGCGACCAAATTTAACAGAATTATGGCCCTTTGTTGATTTTTTCACTAGATACTATGTAGAAATTTTGTGAACGCAACTCCTCTTAAACCGGATGGCAGATTTTGCTTAAACTTACAGGGATGAACAACCTTAATGTGTAGATGGTAGTAAAGGAAGGAATTTTTGCTGCGACCAAATTTAACAGAATTATGGCCCTTTGTTGATTTTTTCAATATATACTATGTAGAAATTTTGTGAACGCAACTCCTCTTAAACCAGATGGCAGATTTTGCTTAAACTTACAGGAATGAACATCCTTAAGGTGTAGATGGTAGTAAAGGAAGGAATTTTCGCTGCGACCAAATTTTACAGAATTATGTCCCTTTGTTGATTTTTTCACTATATACTATGTAGAAATTTTGTGAATGCAACTCCTCTTAAACCGGATGGCAGATTTTGCTTAAACTTCCAGGGATTAACAACCTTAATGTGTAGATGGTAGTAAAGAAAGGAATTTTTGCTGCAACCAAATTTAACAGAATTATGGCCCTTTTTTGATTTTTTCATTATTTACTATGTAGAAATTTTGTGAACGCAACTCCTCTTAAACCGGATGGCAGATTTTGCTTAAACTTACAGGGATTAACAACCTTAATGTGTAGATGGTAGTAAAGGAAGGAATTTTTGCTGCGACCAAATTTAACAGAATTATGGCCCTTTGTTGATTTTTAGTTTTCAACTTGTGGCACATGTAGTCCAAAAAATTTTTGACCTAGAGTCGTAAGATTGACAGAACAGTGGCTTGTGGGGGCATCCGTGTCCTATGGACACATTTCTAGTTATAAGAATAATTTATAATGACTGTTGGTGCTTAAAATATAGCAGTTTTTAATGTAAATACAATGTGTATTACTTTCTTTTACATCATCTTAAGACACTCATTCCATAACAATTAGACTTAAATTGACTGCCTGTCTATTATGTGTATTGACTGAGGAGACCACACAGGAACAAAAATGTTGTTTACAGGTTTTCTTAGTATTTTTTATGGTAGTTTTAATGTTTTTCGGTACATAATTTATCTTGATGTGTTTGTTTAACTTCAGATGAAAGCACTACTTTAACAAAAAAAATTAAAAGAAAGACAGAATTGAGCCCAAAGATATCTTGTATCTATGATGGACGACCAATCATTCTTGAAGATGATGATAGAAAAAGATTAGATGAAAACTGCATTTTTTTCAAGAAGGGTGGATTTGGAGAAATTTTCAAAGTGGAAGGTATATATTCTTTCTACAATTTGTAAAAAACGCCATTCTATTTTCCTTGGTTTTTTTATTTTTATATAAAAATCAAGAATATTGGAAGACTGTTTCAGTCTTTCATTTCAGTTCCTGTACACTTTCATTTCAATTCTTGTTTTACTTCTTTTTATATTTTTCGTCAAATTGTGATTAAACCATACACCCTCATTTGTTGATTGTAAGTAAGGTAGTGGGGGAAAACCCGTAATAGTGAATCAAAGGTGTCAACAAATTTTGGAAGGTCTTGAAAATAATAATGAACATGGGAATGACCACTTGAGCATCCATCTGGATTCTAATAATCTTATAGATAATTAAATGACAATAAGAGCAAAATGTAAATAGGGGATAATTATGCCCCCCTTCGAAGAAGAGGGGGTATATTGTTTTGCTAATGTCGGTCTGTCTGTCAGTCTTTCGGTCCGTCGGTCTATCCGTCGGTAGACCATATGGTTTCCGCTGATTATCTTGAAAACTATTTATCACAAAGTCTTCATATTTCACATAGTGATGGGTCATAACTATTACGAGGGTTGTCCCAAAATATCGTAGACAAAGTCTGTTACTCAATCAATTATACCACAATAGATTCATCCAACTAGGGAAAAGTCAATACAACTTTTATGTGTGTCTATGCGAAATAAAATCAAAATACCTCCAAAATTGACCACGTTATAAAAATTTAAAGAATGCTACCTATACATACCCGGCGCACGCCGTCATAAATGTCATGACGTTATAAGATTTTAAAAAAATGTTTTTCAAAGTATTCTCCTTGTTTCGTGATGCACTTTCGGTGTCGAGCGACCCATTTATCATAAACGTTTTCAAAAAAATCCTGCTTCAATGTACTCAACACTCGTAGAGTTTCCTGGCAGAGTCCGCTGAAGTTTTCGAACCTGTGACCTCGTTATTGTGATTTCAAATAAGGAAACTTTGCAAAGTCTAAGGGCGTATGGAAGTCTCTGAAAACCTATTACACCAAGTTCAAGCTGTGTCTCCTGAGATATATAGGAAGGTGCATTATCTTGATAAAATATGTTTTCCATGTTGTCAATTAATGCTGGTCGCTTTTTCAATTGAACATATTATTCAATGACATTGCGTTGCGCCGCATTTTCATTGACGTCGCCATTTTGGGCATTTTTAAAATAGCATAGCTGTTACGTATTATTCTACAGATTGTTTCAAAGTAGCGTTACATAAACGTCTGTTGGTGATATAAAGTCAAAATGAATGACGTCATTCCATTTTAAGGTATTTCCCATAATTATTATTATGCTAGAAGTTAAAGGCATGATTTTAAGAAGCATGCTCTCAACACTGACTAATATTTTATCTTGCTCCGGGTTAGTTGTTCTGTTAAATTAAAAGCCAAGATGAAAAGCATTACTTTATAAATTGGCTATTGACTTTAAGTAGGTAAATTAACAAATGACCAAGGAAGATTTTTGGTAAATTTTATTAAGTTATGACGTCAGGTTGAAGAGAAAATAATGTAGTCTACGACATTTTGGGACAACCCTCGTAGATGACCTCTTTTGATTTTGGGGTCTCTAGGTCAAAGGTCAAGGTCACAGGGGTCTTAAAAGTCAAAATGGTTTTGCTGATTGTCTTGAAAAGTATTCATCACAAAGTATTCATATTTCACATATTGATTGGTCATAACTAGTAGATGACCCATTTTGATTTTGGGGTCACTAGGTCAGAATTCAATGTCACAGGGGCTTTAAATGTCAGAATAATTTCCGCTGATTATCTTGAAAAGTATTCATCACAAAGTCTTCATATTTCACATAGTAATTGGTCATAACTAGTAGATGACCCCTGTTGATTTGGGGTCACTAGGTCAAAGTTCAAGGTGAAAGGGGCTTTAAATTTCAGAACGGTTTCCGCTGATTATCTTAAAAAGTATTCATCACAAAGTTTCACATATTTCACATATTGATTGGTCATAACTAGTAGATGACCTACATTGATTTTTGGGTCACTAGAACAAAGGTCAAGGTCACAGGGGCCTTAAATGTCAGGATGGTTTCCGCTGATTATCTTGAAAAGAGTCAATCACAAAGTCTTCATATTTCATATATTGATTGGTCATAAGTATTAGACGACCTTTATTGATTTTGGGGTCACTAGGTCAAAGGTCACAGGGGCCTTTTTTAGTAATATGATTTCCGCTTATTATCTTGGTAAGTATTTATCACAAAGTCTTCATATTTCACATATTGATTGGTCATAACTAGTAGATGACCCCTATTGATAATGGGGTCACCAGGTCAAAGGTCAAGGTCACAAGGTCTTTGAATGATAGAATGATTTCAGCTTATTGTCTTGAAATAATTACCACATATTTCACATAGTGATTGGTCATAACCAACAGATGATCTGTATAGCTTTTGGGGTCACTAGATCAAAGGTAAAGGTCACAGGGGCCTTAAGTGTCAGAATGGTTTCCGCATATTATCTTGAAGATTTTTTTTATCTCAAAGTCTTCATATTTCACATACTGATTGGTCATAACTAGTAAGTGACCCTATTGATTTTGGAGTGACTAGGTCAAAGGTCAAGGTCACAGGGTTCTTGAATGTTTGTATGATTTTCAGTCCTTGTCTTGAAAACTATTTATCACAAAGTCTTCATATGTCTAATATTGATTGGTGATAACTATTAGATGACCCCTATTGATTTTGGGTCACAAGTTCAATGTTTTAGGTCACAGGGGCCTTAAATGTCTCATTATCTTGAAAACTATTTATTACAAAGTCTTCATTATTTTTCTTTTTTTCCATAATTGAACACTTCCATGTACCCATTTATGGTAAGTTTCTATAACAAAATTACCAATTATGTGAGTCAAGGGCTAGAGAGGGGGGCATATGTGTCATTCGACATTTCTTGTATTGATAAGTTTTGATGTAATACTTAATTCATTGAACAATTCAAATAATATTGTTTTATTCTACATCTTCAAGAAAGAACAATGTTCACTTACCACTTTTAAAAAGAGAAAAGAAAAAACTTTTTGGCAAGGTTATTAGGAATATAATATTCTATTTAGCTAATGTCCAAAATAACAACTGTGTTCATTTAAAATGAACATATTTCTTGATTTGCGTAAGATTATAAGGCTTTAACGTTATGTTTTGTTTATCACGGAGGACCTTACTTCATATGAGCTAAAAATAAAAAAAATCTTGTTAACACTCTAGTGGCTACTGTTTTGATCCAAATATCCTGGAAATTTGTCTGAAAGTTTGTTTTTTATGATTTCTAGATCAAGTTTGAATATGGGTTACCTGGGGTTAAAAACTAGGTCACACCGCCGAAATATGGTAAAACCTTGTTAACACTTTAGTGGTCACATTTTTGACTCAATTGTCATCAAACTTGGTCAGAATGCTTGTCTAGGTAATTTCTCGGATAGATTCGAATGTGGGTCATCTCGGGGAACAGTAGGTCACAGGAGCTAAAAATAGAAAAATCTTGTTAACACTCTAGTGGCTACGGTTTTGATCCAAATATCCTGGAAATTGGTCTGAAAGTTCGTTTTGATGATTTCTAGGTCAAGTTTGAATATGGGTCACCTGGATTCGAAAACTAGGTAACATTGTCCAAATATGGAAAAACCTTGTTTACACCCTAGTGGTCACATTTTTGACTCACCTGTCATGAAACTTGGTCAGAATTCTTGTCTAGGTAATTGTTCTGATGAGTTTTATGGGTCAGATGAGCGATCTATGGCCATATTGGACCTCTTGTATACCAGAACATACATGTCAAGACGACGTGTCGCGTCTAAGAGCCATGTCTCTACCTCCAAGTTCATGGTGGTAAGATTGCTATGGATAGCATTTCATTTCATTTCATAAGAGCAATATTAGGCAATTATTAACATCTACACTCTTTTTCTTTTCATAATACCTATCTGCAATACTTACAAAAATTTTTCAGAGCCATTCGGCACTTTCATGTGACAGCTTATTTTACCTATGTCTTCCTTGTATGGTAGAACTTACTACCTTTATTAGAACTTTATTAGAACTTATTGCCTTTATACCATTGGTCCTGACTTTGGTTGGAGGTAAGAGTCACTAGTCACCATTTATGTTAAACTTTTGTCCGAACTATTTCTATAATGTCTTATGCAAATTCAGTGAAACTTTACAAGATTGATAAGCACCTCAAGTAAAAACGCATATTTAATAGGTATAACGGTTGAATGATTTTTATGCTCCCTGAAGTGTGAGCATATAATCGTCGCTTTGTCAATCCATCTGTCCGTCTGTCCGCTATTCTTGTCCGGGATATAACTTTGAAACAACCAGCGGTATCAACATGAAACTTTGTGGGTAGATAGATCTCATTGAGTAGATGTGCAGTGCACAAGAACCGAAACTCTGCCTTGCCTAATTTTTGAATAATAACCCTTTGTTTATTTTTACACTTTGAACTTTGTCTGGGACATAACTCTAAAACTATGAGAGATATCAACATGAAACTTTGTAGGTAGATAGATCTTATTGAGTATATGTGCAGGGCTCATGAACCGTAACTCTGCCTTTTCTTATCTTGGAATTATTGCCCTTTGTTTATTTTTACATTTTGAACTTTGTCCGGGACATAACTCTTTAACTGTAAGAGGTATCGGTATGAAACTTTACAGGTAGATATATCTCATAAAGTAGATGTACAGGGCTCAAGAACTGTAACTCTGCCTTGCCTAAATTGGGAGTTACTACCCTTTGTTTATTTGAACTTTGTCCGGGACATTTTTCAAAATCTATAAGAGATATCAACATGAAACTTTGTAGGTAGATAGATCTCATTATGTTGAAGTGCATTGTTAAAGAAACATAACTCTGCCTTGCCTTATTTTGGAGTTTTTGCCCTTTTTTTTCATTTTTAGCTCGACTATTCGAAGTTTTTTGTAAAGTCAAATATCTCAATTATTGCTTGAGATATTCAATTGAAACAATACTTATTTATAGTAACAAGGTACATCAGATTGACAAGTTGGATAACTCTGCCCACAATATTGACAGAATTATGCCCCTTTTTAACTGAGAAATTTTGGTTAAAGTTTTTTGTAAAGTAAAATATCTCAATTATTTCTTAAGATATTCAATTGAAACTTACAATACTTATTTATAGTAACAAGGTACATCAGATTGACAAGTTGGATAACTCTGCCTACAATATTGACAGAATTATTCCCCTTTTTAACTTAGAAATTTTGGTTAAAGTTTTTTTGTAAAGTCAAATATCTCAATTATTGCTTGAGATATTCAATTGAAATTTAAAATACTTTTTTATAGTAACAAGGTACATCAGTTTGCAAAATTGCACAACTCTGCCTGCAATATTTGCAGAACTATTTGCCCCTTAAATTTGAAACTTAGAAAATTTTGGTTTAAAAAGGTTAAAGGTCTTCAAAGATATTTACTTGAAACTTTACACATGTACTTAGGGTCATAATTTGAGGTTATAATTGTATGTCACTGACCAAGTTCCATAAACTCTATCCTGCACTAAGGCTGATTCATATTCCCTTTTCTACTTAGTCTCTTGGTTAATGTTTACATGCAAGTTTTACATATCTCAATAACTATTAAAGATATTTATTTAAAACTTCACATATGCATTTAGGGTCATAATTGTAGGTCACTGACAAAGATCCATAATTCTATCTTGCATTTAGGCTGATTTTTCTCCCCTTTTTCAACTTAGAAATTCATGGTAAAGTTTTGCTTGTAAGCTGTTATCTCTATAATTACTGAAGGGTTTGTGCCATTTTTGGGACAATTATATGCATTCATAATGATAAAGCAGTGATTTACTTGATAAAACATCTTAATACCAAGCCTTTGTACCTTTTCTGTCAATTTTATGTATTCATAGGTAATTAGTATTATTATACTCAATAAAACACCCTTGTGACATTACCTTCCGAATAGTCAAGCCAATACTGTATAATTCGACTGTCTCTAAGGCCTATAACATGAATTTATAAAAAAAAAAATTAGCCCTTTTGTGAACTTAGAAAATTTAACATTATCAAAGCTCTAAATTTTACGTTATCAAGGCTCTTTTATTATCAAGCACTTAGAATAGTCGAGCGTGCTGTCCTACCGACAGGTCTTGTTAAACTTGAACTTGTCCGGGACATTCCTATTAAACTATAAGAGATATCAGCATGGAACTTTGTAGGTAGATAGATCTCATTGGAAAGATGTGCAATGCTAAAGACCATAAACACAGCCTTGTCTAATTTTGGAGTTATTGCCCTTTGTTCATTTTTACACTTTGAACTTTAACAGGGACATAACTCTGAAACTATAAGAGATACCAACACAAAACTTTATAGGTAGATAGATCTCATTGAATAGAAAGTGCAGTGCAAAGAACCATAACTCTGTTTTGCCTTATTTTAGAGTTTTTGCCCTTTGTTCATTTTTTCATTCTTTTCTGTGTCCTAAACCTACTCTGGGAGCATCACCCGGTTCAACCGGTTCTTGTTGGCTGAGTTATGGTCCTTTTTAAAAAAGCATTTTGGAATGTTTATGTTTTTCTCTTGCGATACAGTAGCTGCAACACGCTACAAAGTAGCCCCAACATAATAGGAACAAACTGTACAATCACCCTTCAGTACACTAGCTGAATGGGCTATCATTAGGCAAAGCATGTGATCCACAATCGCTCTTTTTTTTTTTGAAAGTATGCTCATCTGTTGCCCTAATGATTTAATTAAGAAATCATTTGTTTCAGGTAACAATGTGTTCAATATTCCACTGGCCATCAAGAAAATCAAAACAGATGATAGAAGCATGAGGAATTTAGCAACAAATGTAATTATGATTTAACATTATACATTTGACCTTTTTGATGCTACCGCAGCATATGCGATGCGGTGGCATATAGCGATTCACCTGTGTGTTTGTGTGTGTGTGTGTGTGTGCGAGCTTGCCTGGTGTGTTTGTGTGTGTCTGTGTGTGTGTGTGTGTTGGTGTGGTTGTAAGTGTGTTATATAGATTATATAGTGAACTTCTTGTGAAAAGCCACTTGTCCAATTTCAACCAAACGAGGCAGGATTGATCCTTGGGTGGAGGGCTTCCAAAATTGTTCAAAGAATTTCATTCCATGTACAAATCTGGTTGCCATGGCTAAATAAAGGAATTATAAGAATAAATTTAAGAAATCTTCTTGTAAAGACCCACAAGGCCTAGAGCAAAGATATTTTGCATAAGGCATTGTCTGGTAGACCTCTACCAAAATTGTTCAAATTAAAGCCCTTGGGTCAAAATTGGCCCCGCCCCGGGGTCATTGATTTTCACAATATGTACATATAGTAAAAACTTAAAATACCTTCTTGTCCAAAGGTACAAAGCTTAGAGCTTTGATATTTGGTATATGATATCATCTATAGGTACTCTACCAAAGTTGTTTACATTTTGCCTCTAGTGTCAAAATTAGCCCCGCCCTGGGGGTCATAGGTTTTCCTTTTATGTATATAGTGAAAACTCTGAATTGACAAAGGCCAGAGGTAAGATATTTGGCATGAGACTTTGCGTAGTGATCTCTACCAAGATTGTTCAAATTATAGCCCTAGGGTCAAAATTGCCCCGCCCCGGTGTTCATTGATGTACATACAGTAAAAAAATCTTCTTGTCTGAAGGTACAAGGCGTAGAGCTTTGATGTTTGCTATATGACATTATCTATAGATCCTCTACCAAAGTTGTTCAAACTTTGCCCCTGGTGTCAAATTGGCCCTGCGGTGGGGGGGGGGGGGGGGGTGGGAGGGTAGGGTAGGGTGGGGGGGGGTCATTGATTATTTTCATAATGTACATATAGTAAAAACAGAAATTAAAACAAATGTTTTCTGTATTAGAGAAAGCTACATCTTAGATATTTGACATGAAACCTTGTTTGGTGGACCTGTATCAAGATTGTTTTTGAATTACACACTAGAGTTAAAATTTTGCCTTGTCTAAGGGGACAGTGATCTTTCTTCTTGTTCTTTAATGTACAGCCATGAAATTTGGACCATTTGCACAGTTTTAGTTGTTAAATTGAACTTTGATATCAGGTGACCTAGATTTTGACAAAGTGTCTTACTGTGTTGTCCTTTGATGTACAGTCATGAAATTTAGGCCATGTGAAATATGACCTTCACCACCAAATTCACTATACTCAACTGCATTGATAGATTCCTATTCTGATCTTTTATTAGTCCCCTACCGGTTTACCGGAGGGGACTTTAGGTTTACCCTCCGTCCGTCCGGACGTACCAAAATTTGATGTTTATGAGGCAAATGAGCTCATAAACACCACCTGGACCAACGTCCATAAGCAAAATAAGCTCATAAAAACAAAAAATAGCTCTTAATTTTAAATTTTATGAGTTTATGTTCTTTATTTAACTACGGAATGAAGCTCATAATAATCAAATGTTGGCTCGTCCGTCTGTCCGTCAGTCAGTCCGTACGTCCACAAAACTGGATCCCGCGATAACGCAAAAAGTACTGAAAATATTTTTATGAAACTTGATATATGGATACATGGCAGTATGGAGATTATGCACGTCTTTTTCTTTTCTTCTTATGTTGAAAATTCTGGTTGCTATGGCAACAAATAGACTGAAAATATGGCAAAATTACACATAACCTGGATCCCGCGATAAAACAAAAAGTACTGAAAATATTTTTATGAAACTTGATATATGGATAGATGGCAGTATGGAGATTATGCACGTCTTTTTCTTTTTTTTTTCTATGCTGAAAATTCTGGTTGCTATGGCAACAAATAGACTGAAAATATGGCATATTTTACACATAACCTGGATCCAGTGATAACGCAAAAAGTACTGAAAATATTTTTATGAAACTTAACATATGGGTAGATGGCAGTCTGGAAATTATGCACATACTTTTCTTATCTTCCTATGTTGAAAATTCTGGTTGCTATGGCAACAAATAGACTGAATCTCAAGATTTCTGATTATAGTTTTTAAGTTTGTTCACTATAAGTTCTTTATTTCTTAAGGTATTTTCTTCAAACTTTAAATATAAGTTGCTAGACATCAACCACATCATATGTGACAAAGTTTACAACTCTAGCACAAGATTTATCAGAATTACCTCCCTTGAACTTAAACTTTTCATGAAAAAAATATTGTTTTCTTTAATAACTTCTTTTTTTCTGAATGTATCTACTTCAAACTTCATATATTTATTTCTTATTATCACTCAACATTTGTGAGAAAGTTCAATACTCTAGCAAGACTATTTCCAGAATTATACCCCTTTTGAACTTAGACTTTTTTTCGAGAAATTGGTAATTTTTACTCCAACTTCTCCAATCATGATAGGATTATCTTCAAACTCCCACATCATAATAATATGACAAGGTTTATAAATCTAGCATCCATATTTCCAGAATTATCTCCTCCTTAAACTTTTAATTTTTCTTATTCGTTCTTTTTACTTTCATTTACTTCAAATTCAAAATAAACATTCATTATTCATACCTTCATTACTAATTGTTCTTTGTTACACTCACATAATGTATGACATCTTGCATCTTTATTTCAAGTGTTATCTCCTTTTTAAAAATTTTGCTTTTAAAAATGTTATATTTTGATAACAGGGATGTTTAAAAAATAACTGTAGAGTGTCCCTCAGTCCGTCTGTCTGTACATAAAAACTGTTTCCTGTGATCACTTTTAAAGATATTTTTCAACAAATTTACTTAAAATAGAAACACTAGTGAATGGCCAATGGCCCTTCAGAATCTTGCTGGGGTTCTAACCCGTAGGGGACTTATGGATTGCTTGCATAATACTATGAAAATTGCTTGTTTGAATAACAATTGATTTAACCACTAATCTGATAATTAGAATTAGATAGGTCAGGGATCTATGCATTATGGCAATCTTCAGTTGAATAGAAACTAAAAAAAATCTGTTCCTACATTACTATTTAGTGTTGTATTACTGCGGTGGCATAGCATTTTTCACAAATGCAATCTTGTTTTAGTTGAGCTTGAATCCCTTTGTTTGGAAAATTAGTTGTATGGAGGGAAAACCCGTAAAGTATGGGCAGATTGCTGTTGTTATGTACCTTTCACGATAATGGCATTTCTGTCTGTGGGTGCATGCGTGTGTTCAAAATCCTTGTCCTTCACATACCTCTGTCATGCATCAAGGGAATTAGAAATGATTTAGCATTAATGTGAAGTATGACTAGACAGTGTTTTATTTGCAAGAACTACAACGCTAGCTTCAAGGTCACACTTGGAGATAAAGGCCCGTCAGTGGAATATCTTGTCCGGTCCATAACTTTGTCATGCATCAAGGGATTTTAAAATATTTTGGAGCAAATGTTACCCATGATGAGTCTTGTTTGTTATGTGCAGGACATAGACCACAGACTACCAAATCAATATTGCACTAAGAGGTCAAAGATCAGAAGTTACAAAATCTTGTTAATGATTCTATCATGCATCAGGGGATATTAAAACAAAGGTTAAGCATGATGAAAAGGTGTCTCATGCACAAGACGTAACCCCTTATCTCAGGTCAAGGTCACACTTAGAGGTCAAATGTTAGATGCCAGTCCCATAATTATATAATGCATCAAAGAATTTTGAAACAAGTGGAACCAATGTTTAGCCTGATGAGGTGGTGTTTAATGAGCAGGACAAGACCCCTACCTTCAAGGTTATAATAAGAGGTTAACATTCACTAAGAAATTCTTGTCTGATCCATTGTCTTTGTGATACATTAAGGGATATCCAAATCAGTTGGCAAAGGTGTTAAGCATAATGAGTAATTGGTATCCTACCAATTGTAAAAATCAATGCTTTAATTTGACAATTTTATTAATTGTTACCTATTGAACAACTTTTCCCCAATTTAATGTCTATTTCAGACTAAACTTAGAAATTTAAGCTGTGTCACTGTCAGAATAATCGCACACTTTTATATGTAGACATATATATTTTACAACGAGTTAATATTTCCCTACAGTGATATATTGTTGTAGATGAAACAACGAGTTAATATTTCCTTACAGTGATACGATGTTTTAGATGGAGTATAAATGTTTAAACCAGTTGCTGTGCGTATATTAAACATGTAAATGTCAAAATTGTTAAAACAGAATATATGCGAGTTTTGGGAGATATTTTACATCAGTTTAGGAGAGACACACTGGTAGTGTGTAGTGCTATTTTTTTTGTTGAGAAGAGAATTTGTTGTTTTGAAAGGAGTTTTGTTGAATTGTCGAAGTTGGTTGAATGTTATTGTGGTGATCTTAATTGATCAGGGTTTATTGGTTATAATTAGATGTTTTGGTTGTTGAGTTATATCTGTTTGGTAAGAAATATTTTATTGAAATTGTTTAAATATTTGGAGTGGTTTTGTCTGGTCAAGATTATATGAGTTGATACTTTGTTTTTGAGGATATATGTAAATTTTGGGTGCTTTAGTTTATTTATTTTTTTCTGATGCTGATTAGATTTTGTGAAGTTAATGTTGTTGGATGTATGTTTGTGGTTTATACTGTATCTTAGAGTTGTAAAGTATTCATTGTTGTGTTTTTCAATTTTGTGGTGATTTTATTGTTTTGTTTGATTATAAGTTGTTTAGAGCTTGGGCTCGCCAGGTGTCTAGTATTGTTTCGTATAAGAGACGTGTACGTAAAAAGATATTTCGTATAAGTGGCTGATAAATGATACGTGTTTGTTTTTGGTGTAAATAATGATCAGAGTTTTTTTGTTTTGGGTGTAAATAATAATCAGAGTTTGTTGTTTTAAATGTATATATGGTATTAAGATAAAAAAAAGATAAGATACCTAAAAAAATACTGTTAACTAAACAATGATTTACATCCAACAACATTAATTTCACAAAATCTAATCAGCATCAGAAAAAAATAAATAAAATAAAAAACATGCTAGTTTTTTCCAACTGAGAA